CTCGGGGTGTGACCAAATTCAGAGGGCGGATTAGCCGTATTTACATTGAACCTTATGGGGGAAATTTACCTCGGGGTGTGACCAAATTCAGAGGGCGGATTAGCCGTATTTACATTGAACCTTATGGGGGAAATTTACCTCGGGGTGTGACCAAATTCAGAGGGTGGATTAGCCATATTTACATTGAACTTTATGGGGAAATTTGCCTCGTGGTGCGACCAAATTCGGAGGGCGGAATGGATTAACCGTATTTACATTGAACCTTATGGGGGAAATTTACCTCGGGGTGTGACCAAATTCAGAGGGTGGATTAGCCATATTTACATTGAACTTTATGGGGAAATTTGCCTCGTGGTGCGACCAAATTCGGAGGGCGGAATGGATTAACCGTATTTACATTGAACCTTATGGGGGAAATTTACCTCGGGGTGTGACCAAATTCAGAGGGTGGATTAGCCATATTTACATTGAACTTTATGGGGAAATTTGCCTCGTGGTGCGACCAAATTCGGAGGGCGGAATGGATTAACCGTATTTACATTGAACCTTATGGGAAACTTTACCTTGACTTGAGACCAACTCGAGTTGCAACCAGAGTCACGGAACGGATTAAGTTCGTAACTAGAGGTACCACTGTATATTGTTTTGATATTATCATTATGCTTGCTTTTATTGTTTTTAACTGAACTTACAGAGGTTGGGATGTCATTCGCAGTTGGAACAGTAAATAAATATTTTTGTCCTCTTGCTGATAGGTGGATCAGGATATGGTCAACCTGGGCAGGTTCTTCAGTCCCTAGTGGGTTTTGGGGGAGGGGGGAGAGAGAGAGAGAGAGAGAGCAGACAATGGCCCTGCCCCATCTTGAGTGCATGGTCAACATGAAAGTTGTGTCTGGATCTCTGATACATTTGTCCAGGAAGAATTTTTCTCTTCCTGTCCTTCCTCTTCCCCACCTCAACCCAAAGACCAGCCTTTCCTAAGGTAGTGTTCCCAAGAGGTGAGGGCTGGAATTTCAAGAGTTGTACTCCAATATCTGGGGAGCACAAGGTGAAGGAAAGCAGCTGGGGTCAGAAGGCTGGACTTGGTTTGACCCAAGAATGGAAGCCTTGCATGCTGGGTCAACCAACATGTTCTGAGTAGACTTTGGAAGGAATTCCTTTCTTCTTTGAACATTTATCTTTATTAGTCTCCACAGAGTTGGAGAAAGATCACAAAGAAGGGCAGCAACCTTCCATTCTACATTGCTACATCTTATGAAAGACCACCATTTTTTTTTCTCTCTGTCTCTGTAGGGCCTACATGCTCAGTTATTAGACAGCAATTTGGACCCAGTTGAGCTGGAGCGAGCAAAGAAGGGGCAGGTATATATTTTTCTGTTGTCTCTAATCTTTGTTTCATGTTGATAAACAACATACAGATGTTCCTTGGCTGTATCAGGTTTGGCTCGCTATGGTGTCTGTGAATATATTTCCTCTTTTCCTCAGTAGCTTTAGGTTTAAATAGGATTCATATGTCACACAAACACACTCATCCAGAATATATTATTTGTGTTTCAACATCTTGGCTGGAGGTCAGTTGAATTACCTGTTTTGGATTTGACACTTTGAGCGTAAGGATTATATATATTTTTAGAGAGAAGGCTTTGAAAATGAAGCAAAAGACTTCTAAGATGTCAGATGTGTGTATCGGTGCTTGCTTTGCAGAAATCAGATTACCCCAATGGAATCCCAGAATGTGGAACTGATGCCCTTCGGTTTGCTCTCTGTGCCTACACATCTCAAGGTACTTTTTCTGCCTCCACCTGAGACTGTGGCTCAATTTTGTAATGGAATTCTTAGCTTTGCTTTCATGTTGGCTTCTCTCATAATGTCCCTCTTTTGCTTTTCTCTCTTCAGGCCGGGATATAAACCTGGATGTGAACCGGATTCTGGGCTACCGCTATTTCTGCAACAAACTCTGGAATGCCACCAGATTTGCCATCCGTGGTCTTGGGGAGGGATTCCAGCCACCACTCAGCCCAGAGGTAAGTCTGTTCTTTTGGGTTCTCCTTTTCCATTTCCCCCAGATATTCATAGAGTGGCCATCCATGGTACAGAGCATTTATTATTCTGGGTTAAAAGGAGTTCTTCCTTACTAATCAGACTTTGTTTGTTGCAGCTCAGTGGCTCTGAGAGCCTCATTGACCTCTGGATCTTGAGTCGCCTGAGTCATGCCGTGGAGTTATGTGATGTGGGATTTCAAGCCTATGACTTCTCTGGCATCACCACAGCAGTGTATAATTTCTGGCTGTATGAGCTGTGTGACGTCTACCTTGTGAGTGAGACCTCTGCGCAACAGAACTCTCATTCTCCTCATCTTGGGAGGTGTAATATTTCCATTATATCTGCTTAAAACTAATGCACTATTGCACATAAGGTGTAATGCCTAGAATAATTTCCCAAGCTAGCGTTTCTTGGATAGGATGGGACTACAGCTCCCAGAATTCCTAACTAGCTGGGATTCTGAGAGTCATTGTCCCATTATATCTGGGAGACCCCTGGTGGGGTGAAGGCTATCTTTGATTTTGATACTGAGCCAAGTTCAGAATCCATGCTTAACCATTAAGTTGATTGGATTATGTTGCAATGACAGATTACTACTATGAATTCATCTGAGTCTATCCCACAGAGTTGTTCTGAGACTATAACACTGTTCTAAGCTCCTAATGCTAAGGCAATGCAAAATCTAGTAAACATTTAAATGCATCATGAAACCCAGGTTTGAATTTGATTCTTTGCCTGGTCATCATAGGTGACACAAATGTTCTATGCAGGTGAGTTTAAAAGGTTGGCAAGAAAGTTTGGCTCATTCTGAACTTCTTTCATTAGCCTGTTTGATATAAAACTTAAAAAAAAAACCAAAACTCAAGCCTGCTAATAAGTTAGTAGCCAGTGTTTCAAAGATGGGTGCAGAAGATGGGAAAACCCTCTTTGAGATGGTATGGAAATGTAGGCTACTCATCTCTGAATGGGCTTTTACATGGGATATGTAAAAGATACATAACAGAGTAGGGCAGTTAATACATTCAAATACAAGCAGTCCTCACTTAACAACCATTCATTAGCGACCATTCGAAGTTACAGCAGTGCTGAGCAAAGGGGCTTAGAACTGGTCCTTGCACTTAAAACTGCTGCAGCACCCCCGCGGTCATGTGATTGTGATCCAGGTGCTTGACAACCAGCTCACACTTATGATAGTTGCAGCGTCCCAGGGTCACATGATTCCCATTTGCGACCTTCGCAGCCAGCTTCTGGCAAGCAAAATCAATGGGGAACTGTGTGATTTGCTTAACGGCCATGGTGATTCACTTAATGACCATTGCAAAAAAGGTTGTAAAATCAGGCATGACTCACTTAACAACCCCCCTGCTTAACAACAAATTTTCTGCTCCCTATTGTGGTCATTAAGTGAGGACTACCTGTACTGTAAATACATGATTTTAGTGGGCCTATTTGCTTGGCTGTGTAAGGATCACCTTCTACATTTTTATTCTCTTTTTAATTTTCCACTTAGGAGTGCCTAAAGCCTGTGTTTGCCAGTCCAGACCAGGTTGCAGTTCAAACGGCCCAGAAGGTTCTTTACACCTGCTTAGATGCTGGTCTTCGCCTTCTCAGCCCTTTCATGCCTTTTGTCACAGAGGAACTGTTCCAGCGGCTGCCCCGAAGGTCCCCTTCCTCTGATCCTCCCAGCATCTGTGTCACCCCTTACCCCACAACTGAGCAGGTAATTGGGCAATGGAATCTGAAGCTTGTGGCTGGCAGTGGGCGAGCACACCCTGGGGAGGAAGCCAAAGGTTATCACAGAAGCTCCTTTTGAAATAAAGCCTAAAATTCACACAATGAAAAGGAAAAGCACACAAATTGGGTTCCTGCAAAATCACGATCACAGGTATGACCAGAATGAAATAGAATGACAATGCTGGAAGCCTTGGCCGTCCACCAGTATGATACTGAAACAGGAAAGCTAGCATTGAATCTAAAGAGGTTCTTCTGATTAGTCCATTTCATTTTGGTGTGATGCTGAAATTAAAATTAAATCAAGCTGCTCATTCTTCTGTCTTCTTTCAGTTCCATTGGAGGAATGAAAATCTGGACCACACCGTTGAATTCATGTTGAACATCATTAAGGCTGTGCGTTCTCTCCGGGCGGACTACAACCTTACCAAAACCAAAGCTGACTGTGAGTTTTTCACTGAAGGCTTTTCACTAATTAATGAGAAGCTATGAATCCAGTTTTGTCTTTGGCTGAGCTGGCTTGAAATTCTGGGAATGGCAGTGCTGCCCAATCTGGAAGGCATTCGTTTGGAGAAAGTTGTGTGCCTGAAAAATTAAGATGTGTTAGCAAACCAGGCCAGCTGGCTGGACTTTTGGAAGTCGCTTAGCTTGAAGAATCATTGGAGGAGATGGAAGATCTTTAGTATCCATGCAGTTACAAATATTTTCCCCAATATTGGTCTTAGGTTGGCAGAGGGATGGAATAATGAATTTAGTGGTTTTGAGATGGGCCCAGTAGTTTGCAACTCCTCAATTCAATGTCTGGAGCCACCAGTTTCTCTCCCTTCAAGAATGTGCTGCTCAAAATTACCAGTTTTCCATGGCACATTTTTTGGGTGGTTTCCCCACCCCTGGAAAATAAAGTGCTAGCTTAATACTTTGTATGTAGAGAGCTGGAAGCCGACATGTAGTTGCAGATGTCAGAAGTCAAACATTGAACACCAAAGGAGTAGAGACAGGGATTTATTTCTTCGCATTTGCCCCTTTGGCACTTTGATCTGTTGAATTATTCAATGAAATGATGCATCTGAATAAAGAGTTAGACCACCTGGAAGGTAGAAGTTTCTGATTTCTTGGCCTTCCTATCCCCAACAGGCAAGGCTGGAATTTTTTCCCATCTGGCCTTCAAGCCTGGGCCTTTTTGAATGGTTGGGGGAGTTTTACAGGTCTACATAGAGAAGGCCAGTAGGAGTTTGTTCCCTCCCTCATCCTTCCTTTTTCCCACTCTCCTTATAGCCTTTAAGTCATCAAGCGCTGAGTCTGAAAATGCAACCTCCAGTCACAGACAGGCTGCCTGTCCTTAATCTTAGAGGTCACGACCAGACCAGGAAATTAACTCCACAAGAAGGCTAAAATAACTTTTATTGAGATTGGCTAGCATAATAGAATCTTGCAAGTCTGATTGGGCTGTTCCTCCTCCTCCTTCTCTTCCATATAGTTCAGTGAAGTAGGGAGGTGTCTGTCTGAGCTGCTTCTGAATGTTACCTGGCTGTTCTGGACTTAAAAAAGATTTCAGCCCCTCTTTTGCAGAGGCAACAACTCCTGCATATCTCTGTCAAGATCTTCGTTGCTCTCTATAATGAGGCTGTAGGGGACAATATACAGGAAAGCAGGACAGCCAGTGGGCACACACTCCTCTCAGTTTCCCTGATGTTCTTCCTTTGTTCCTCTATTTTCAGGTTACTTACAGTGCCTGGATCCTGAGACAGCGGAGTCTGTGACTTGTTGCTCCGAATACATCCGCACTCTTTCCTCCTCCAAGCAAGTGCTGGTACTAGAGCCTGGTCAAGCACCTCCCTCTGGCTGTGCTGTAGCAATAGCCTCTGACAAATGCACCGTCCATCTTCTGCTCAAGGTACTGGAAAACAAACAGGCAGCAAAATGGTGACCGGCAGTGGAGAACCTTAGTTTTGGGGAGCAGATTTCTTTTTTTCCTACAGTAGAGACAGGGAGTCCTAAAGTGGGTGGCTCACATTTGCTCTGAAGGCAAGGCTAGAAGATTCTGATGGAGCTTCAGAGAGCTCAGTCCCCAGTTCCAGCCCTGCCTCACGCCAGTAAGTCCATCCTCCTGGCACTTGCGCTAGCCATCCACGTAAGCAGGTCTTTCTGAGTCATCAGCCTTTCCTTTTTGTTCTGAGTCATCACCACCACTTTTTGTTCTGGTGTCTTGCCTTACTTGATCTTCCTTAGTAATTAGAACAAGAAGGCTCATGGCCAGTAAATTCAAATCCAATTATTCACTTTTATGAACCTGTTGGAAGATCTGGGAGCATTCTGGATTCTGCCAGCCTATGGAGGAACATTTTCCCATACCATCAAAAGGTTGGGAAGCTAATGTGTTTTGTTCTGTAACATGACATCAGACTGCCATGACCTAAAGATGGTCTTGCATATCATTAGACATAGAATTCACCAGCACCCTTCTGATATCACTTTATTTCATCCCCCACAACGTGGTGGGTGATCAAACACAAGGTAGTTCTGAGGGCCACTAATCAGCTAGGCATCCAGGTGATTGAGCTGGGTCCATGAGGTAAGAGAACCTCATCTGGGGGAGATGGGTGGCATATAAATTTAATAAATAAATACGTAAATAAATACATTTCATCTACTTCACTGCTTCCAAGAGCAGGGAATGGTATGCCATCTGGACAAGGCAAGTCAGCCTTCACCTTCAATATCACAAGTTTGGGATGGAGATGCTGAGATCCCTGATGGAGTGCTTACAAAAAGAAAATGTCCTGGCGTTCCACTGGAGGCCTGCCTACATATCCCAGTGTTGCTGAAGTTCAAATACCAGAGATTTAGCCACCATTCTAGGCTTTTCCATATGGGCTCTTGTCAGCTTCCATGGTGTTCAGGAAGATGATGGTGACTATCATGGCTCACCTCAGATCTCAGGGAATCCATGTATACCCATAGCTAGATGACTTGCTGATCCAGTTCTTTCTCAGCAAACAGGAAAGGAAATTGCTGACTGGAAACTCCTTATAGACTTTTTGCATGAAACAGAAAAAAATGAACGTATGATTTATGGTTTTGATGAT